CCAGACCCAAACTCCGGTACGTCTAGAAATCGCTCTTCCAATACGATCCACTGGACTTTGTCCAACATTTTTTAGCAAACTGTAGGCTTTATAAAGTCCCACTTTCTAACTCTTCACACACACCGTTTTTTTTTTCCTTCCTGTTGCCAGCCAGTCTTGCCTGGGTTGACATCCAGACGAGCAGTCAGTTTTCAGACTCAGAAGTCCGTCTCTTAACTAACACGCGTTAGTTCTAACTGCTGCCTTGGTTTTCACGCTGCAGCTTATTTTTGGAGAGCAGGGTAGCGCAAATGAATATTCCTGATGAAGGTAGCTTTCACCGGATTCTTTACAAAATCTATTCCCCCTTCCTCCCTCTCACCCCCTGGGTACACAGGCACCATACTGAGGTTTGCATTTTTCATGGCGGGACAGACAAGTCTGTAAAAGGCATGTTTGTTTTTCATGGCTGTTTCAAATATGTATTTCCTGGAGGACTTCGCATCTGATGGGGTCATCAGAAGCACATGTGCGATTTTCATCTTTCCAAGTGATTTCTCCTCTTCTACCCTCCTTTCCTTACCAGCAGTGTTTGCTGATATAACATTTTATCTGTTCGTCCACCGTAGCTCCCACTAAAAAAAGCCTGTCCGTCCCAAACTCTCGGTGAAGTCCCAGTTTGTTTCTGTGTGTCTGACTGGGATTTTTGGTTTTGTTTGGGGCTTGGGGAGGCTATTTTTATAAGAAGTAATTTTTTTCTTTTTCTTCCTCTTGTTGTCGTCGTCGTTGTTGTTTGGGTTTTTTGTTTTATTTGTTTCCTACAGTACGCAGCTTGGGCTGGAGGTGCTCTACCGACCAGCAAGCCCGACCGCCCACTCGGTAGCCGCTGCTCTTTGGTACCCCGGGGTGCGAAGCTGGACGGGCTCCGGATAAAGACGGATTTGATATTTAAAGCTGGGGATTGAGCGTTTTGCTCAAACCCAGCAAAAACTCCCCAGTCGCTAATAAACAACCCCCGCCTCCCGTTTATTTTAATGGTAAGGAGATGAACCTTCTTCCCAAGCAAGAAGCCACCTCCCCGATACATAGAGTGGAAGCTTTGAGCGCTGCTACTCGCAACAAAATGGTAAGAAGCTGATCCCGCATCCCAGCTCTGAGGTTTATGTATTTTTTCCAAATCCCAGAGCTACTCTCCTTCAGACAAAACCCTCACCTTTTCCTTGTGTACTGAAGCACTAAAAGTTCCCTTCAGTATATTTTCCTTGGCTGCCTGAGCCGCAGCATTTTGATTCACTAAGCAGAGGAAGTTAAAGAACTCTGCAGTAAGGGCCAGTGCCCAGTGTTTTCATCACCACTCCCCTACATTATTTGTCATGCTCAAGTGAGGGTTTGTTCAAGCCAAAAGCCTGCGCATACCGGGCTGCATTTGTTTCTTCTAAAGAAGGCAAGAGATTTTGTTTCCGGGTCTGGTAACAGGAGCCCCTGTGCCTTACACAAACATAGCTGGGCAGGCAGGGGCACTCCCAAGGCTTTTTGTTCCGGGGCTGCAGCAGCCCCCCTCAAACACACATTGAGGCTTTGGTTAGGCCTAAATGGCTGCACTAGGTCCCAGGAGAAGAGGCAAAGTAGCTTTGTCCGGAGTAGCCCACAAAAAATATACCAAGCGGGTGACTTCTCTCATGTCGAGTGTTTGCAAAATGGCTTACACTATCCAAAGAAAAAAACAGCCACACAGCCTTGTAAATGAGATGCGACTGTGTTTCTCAGAGGAAGTCCTGTTTACCCCCGAGAGCCTGCAAGGGCTAGTGGATGTAAGGCGTTCAACCAGCAAGCTCTGGCATACACTCCCTTACTCATAGGAAAGGCTCTTACTTCAATAGAAGTTCTTCCTGTCCCCAGAAAAGCGTAGAAAACGGCCACATCTCCAGTAGCCTGTCGGGATGCTCTCCCATCGTGTCCATCAGTATTTCCCTGCCAGGGTGATGAGTTGAGCCTTGCTAGGACAGACAGAAATGTTTTCTGTCTCAAGTGAGCTATTTCTCTTATGACTCTCTTCAGCGAAGCACCAGGTCTGTGAACACTCATATAGTAAAATACAGCAGAAAAAAATTTGCCCTAGTACGTGAATGTTCAGCTCTCTGCTACCTAAAGGAATTACTCCAGTTACAGGTCTGGGGGCCGTAAATGCTGAATACATTACGTAATTTGGTAAGATTTTAGTTTGAGGTCAAATACTGCTTATATATACACACACACACACATATATATGTGCGTGTGTATGTATATACAGGGTGCGTGTGCGTACACGAGAGAGCACGGTTCTTCCCGGGTTAGTCCCGCCGTGCGGTTTGCCCGCTGCATCCTGACCTCAGTCCGAGAATAGTCAAGGGGGTTTTCATGGATAAAACCTGCCAGGATCGAACCACCTTTTTATTCATGCCCCAAAAACCTTGCAGCTACTCCAGAAACAACCAACCCTGAGATGAGATATGCCCCATGTAACCTAATGCTAGCGAATCATAACTAATCTGTTTAAAACCAAGGATTAGTCACGTCGGTTTCGGCGTATTCCTCTATCGGGAACTTTTTTTGTGCGTGGAAAATCGGAGGGATTTGGGGTAATTTACCAAACATCAGTACCAAGGCAAGTACGGTCCGATACAATGAGTTTGAACATGTAAGGGTTTTCAGGTTGCATTACATATGCCCCATCATTGAGGCTTTGAGCTGTATGCGCCCTTTATGCCAGATTGACCTGCAGACTTTTTTCTTACTGTATGATTTCTGCTTCTAGCCGTCTTTAGTTGGCTTCAGCTACTTGCCCTCTCCTGATTTCTCCATATATAAGAGATCCGCACTGAAATTTACATTTTTACAGATCCTACTCTTTCCAAGGGTCTTTCTCACCATGTCAACCCTTCATTTACGTTCCCCGATCGAATTATGCCTCCTCTGTGCAATATGACCGTTTATTAATCACATAAACCCCATCGTGTTTTCATACTGCCTCTTTAAATATTCCCCATCTTGCCTTTACTCTTTCTCATTTTTTCTTTCTCCAGAGGGCAAAGCCTTAAGGCTTTATTTAGGTTTTGGGGTCATGTTTTATTAACCTAGACGTTCTGTTACCCTTCCGAAGCTCATTTCTACCTATAAAAATACATAATAATTAAGTAGCCAATTAATTCATTCTTTGCAATATTGCACATCTGCATGTGTTATTTTACAGGGAGCAGGAATCTTCTGTAGCTCTAGGAAGCAGTGGTTCCTCTATTTGCAAAATGTTTATTTTCAAAGAATTAAAATTCATAGCTAAAATTATTAGATGCTTCTCAACGGAAATAACAGGATCTGCTTTTTAGACCCTAATGCACGCAGGGCCCCAATGGTACGCTCTTACAGCACAGACAACAGCCACATCATCTTCGCCGCTGAAAAAATGACCCCAAAGAGCAGAAACAGAGGACACATAAACCTGAATATACCACATTGCCTCTGATATAAGACTGTACCCCGCTGCACCCCAGCATAACGAGAACACTGGATTTATAGTCGCGAGTGAGGGTAAACTTTTTTCCGGAGGCCGAACCTCCCCCTTACTGACATCCATACATTCCCTTCTATAGACTTTTAACGGGACCTCAGAGAAACGTACTTTTAGCGGGCACCCAAAAAAGCACAGAGGCGCTAATCCAGCCTCAGATTATATCAAATTAGGACATTGCCCGCACAATACTCCCACTGACTGAAATTTCAGCCAGCGTCTGAAACCTGGACACAATCTTTGCTGAACTACACATATTTCTATCCAGCTTGAAGCCATATCGTTTTCTCGGTTTATTTTTTACAAGAAAATAATTTTAAAGAAGAAAAAAAAAGGAAAGTATAAAACTCTTTGCAAGCTCTGAGGAACATTTTAAGCAGATGACATAAGACATTCGGCTTCTAGCAAAGAGGTGGCAGCGAGGGTGCAAGATGTATTGAAATCACTCTGAATTATCTTTTAATGGGGCAAACTGGCAAGCAACTTGCGTGTCTCTTTTGCCAGCCGGTGCTTACAGAAAAGGGAATTAAAAATAAAGAAAGGAAAAGGAGGGGAATAGAGCAATCCCTTTCCCACCATCACTCCCGAAGACGCTGGAAAGGCGTTTGCAGCCCAGCCGTGCTGAACTGCGGAGCAGGGTCTGGCCACACATGGTTTGCCCACCTGCCCTTGAAGCGAGGTGGGGAGAGCGTGGCGGGGTGGTCGGCTTTCTGCCGGAGCCAGCGGACACCGAGCGGAAAAGCCCGCAGCCTGCACGACCGTGCCCTCGGTGGAGCAGGTGGCTGACCTCTACTTTTCCCTCAGGGCCCGCACCGCCCGTCCTTCTCCGACTCCTCAGCTCCCCGCCCCCGCAGGGCGACTTCAACTCCCCCCTGCGCACGCCGCTTCCCCGGAGCAACGCGCCCGGGCGTTGCTCCGCGGGTCACCCCAAACGGAGCACGTTGCAGGGTCTGAACACACGACACTGCCTTCCCCGGCGTCCCCCACCAGAACGCCCGCTCTGTTCCGCTCAGGACTGAGCCCGAAAACACCCCGCGGGCGAGTGAAGCAACTGTACGCCGAGTTAGATTTCTAATTTTTATTATAAAATAAAAGCAGAAATATTTTCCAAAGAATGTATTCACATAATATAAACAAGAAACAAAACTAAGGTGAGTGACTTGTGGTTGATACTGTCTTTTAGGTCTAAACTTGAGCAGCAATTCCTCTTTTCTTTTTAAAGCGAGCTCCTGCCCACGTTGCACACAGAGGGGGGAATTCTGTCTCTGCCTTCCTCCGGGCCAGAGCCGGGCCACCACTTCCTTTTACGCACAGCAAATGGCTAAAGCACCACATGGACAAGGCCAAAGAAGCTGTCTCTCTGCATAGCATCAGCTACAAGAAGGTTACAGAGTCTGCCTAGAGCGCGTGTTGCTGCTATAACTTGTCTACAACTTTTGTATTCTTAGTTGAAATTGTACATCATACACCTGCCACGGATACATAGCTACAATAGAATAACGGGAGAGATGTGTAACTTCCAAACAGGCATGGCAACAGCAGCCTTGCGTTCCACTTTCCTCCCCACATCCCGAAAAAAAATATTACAATGTGCCTCTTCCCACACAGACCGGCCCGATCGAGTGACACCACTGAGAGATTCGTGAAATTAAGGCTGGAAAGAGCTGCTAAACCGATCCCCCTTACAGCCTGCCGTGAAAATCACAGCTCCTGTCCAATAGTCATTACACGCCTGAGCCCCCCTGTAAACAACTCTTAAGGCTTTTCACAACATCACTGCCCACAGTTGAGTCTGCTACCTTGCAAACCTGCAGCCAGCCTTCTGCCAAAGGGCACAACACATCCACTAAGGTGTTTGTCATCTCTTTCAAGTCTCTGGTAAGATTAAGGGGGGAGAAAAAAAAGGAAAGAAAAAAAAGGAAAAAAAATAGAGTAAAGGAGGGCTGGTGCCAAGGAGGGAGCGTGTACACTGTTTTAAGAGCCCAGATCTACCAGGTTAGATGACATGGGGTTGAGGATGGAGTCCTGCAAGCTGTGGTGGTGCATGGGGTCGGCACTGGGCACGGGGATGGCGCTGGGGCCCTGGGGGTGGCCCAGGCCGTGCAGGGGCTGCAGCCCGGGATTGGAGCTAAGCAGCAACGCGGGGCTGGAGGAGGTGTGATCCGGGGTCCCTGACGGCGTCTTCTCGTCCTCTGAGCTCCCCAAAACTGTCTTATTCCCGTTCATTGACGCCGAAAGCGGGTTGTGGCTGTTGGAGTTGGAATTCTCGTTGTTTTCCCTATAGGAAACACAAAAGAGGGAGGGAAATCACCTTGTGGCCGTCGCTCCGGGGCGCACACCGCTGGAGCGGGGGCGGCGGGGAGCTGGTTCCAGGGAGCAGCGAGCGGAGGGGAGTGCAAAAACAGTAGGTTTGAAAACTGCAAACCTCCAAGGTCTCTTCATCTGGCACTAAGGTCTAAGGTCCGCTGAGCTTGTAAACAGTGTCTCCCACTAGCCCAGTGGAAAGTGTCACTTTGCCAAAACGCAATTTTCTGCGTCCAAAGGGTTTGCACAGCATGAGGAGGGAGGCGGAAGGGAGGAAGACATTAAAAAAAAAAAATGTACTTTTAAACTTTAAAACTGCTCTAGGACCTGAAGAGAAATTTGGCCATGATCTCTCCTGGGAAGGCCAAAGTCCGGCGAACTCCAGGCAGAATGGCTCCGTGCAGCAGAACAGCCTCCCGGGCTCACATCAGGAGGAAAAGTCTTTTGCTTAAGACGTGGTTTTTTTCCGCCTCGCCCTGAGCCTAAAGCTCAAAATATAGCCCAATATGGAAGATAAGGCAAGCGAACAGAGTTAACTCGGCCCTCTTGGGAAATGCTCCGCGCGGCCTCCGCTACCCCTCCATCCCCACTTGGACGGCGGTGGGCGCAGCCAGGGTGGCCCCTCGCACGGCTCCGCGGCGGGGATAGTCAGCACCGCCGGTGTGCCTACCGACAAAGACTCGGAAAGGCAGTACGTAGTTTCGAAATTCATCACCGGGTAAATACCGAGAAATCGCTGGAGGCTGGCCAACTCCTTGCAGATACATCTATATACTTATATATCTATATTATTTTCCGAAATGAGAGCAGCAAGTTGGGGTCCCTTCAAGGTTTACGCGGCCTTTACACATAGCCCTCGTAGAAATACTTTAGTCACAGTCCTGCCTGAAATACTGAAGGCAATGCAAGTCTATTTAAAAGCTTCTGAGGAAGTTTTGAAACACACTATCTGGCAGAGGGGCCCTATCCTGAAGGATTTGGAGAAGTTAAGCCATTGCACTGACGGTTTTTCCTCACTAAGGGCTGCAGGATGTGGCTGGAGACACTTAGTGCCAAAAAAATAAAAATAGACAAGAAAGCTCTGTTTGAACAAGTTTCCTTGAGTGAATGGCAATCCCATGAACGGTCTGTTTTCCAACGCCTGGAGTGTAATATTAGGTTGAGTGTATTTTTCAATGTCAAAAATCTTATTTGTCTCTGGAGACCTTTAAAATTTGATTCCGCGGGAAGAAAAAAAAAAAAAAAGGAATGGAATAAGTGTAACCTTCATTTCCTTTGGATATTTGAAGGTGAGTCCCTGCTATCAGCAATAAAAAGGATCTCTAACATCTCGTAAAACCAACACTTGTGAGGATTTGAAGTAAAATTAAAGCGCTAGCACCGTTTCGTGAAATGAACAGAGCAAATCTGTGCGCGAACCTGCCGGGCTGCACAGCTGCGCGGCCGCGGCGCTGCCCGTTTCCAAAATACGATAGGCAGAGAGTCTCGAAAGATAGAAGTTACCTCAGAGGCAAGGATCTACAGGAGATTTCTGATATATCAATTGACCGCGCAGGTCATACGATCAGGTCCGTACGGACTGGGCAATTCAGCGAACTAGTGAATGCAGTTGAAGGACCCTTTTTGCTTCTTCGAACCTTTGCGTCTTCCTAAGGTACAGGGACTGGTGATGACTTTTCAGTCATCCCGAATACTCAAGGATGTAGGCATTAACCTCTGCCCGGCAATTAATAGTCCCTTCACTCCATTTAACGTGAAAAGCACAATCGCAGAATCATGTTCGTCCTAAGAACATACACCTATTGACATGCGTTCATGAACACCTTACTGAGTAGGGAATAAGAACTGCAATGTCACGAGCGAGGCAAGAAGTTGCTCTGCTCAGTCCTTGTCCAGGTCTCCCGCCGCACGCCAGGAGCCGACGACACTGGACATATTTGCTAAACGCGTTCAGACCTACGTGTTTCCCTCTGCCCCTCGGCTTTCCCTTTCTGCACCGGAGTAACCCTCCAGGACACGTTCTGAGCTGTACGGGGCGCGGAGCCCTTGCCCTTGGGCCCCGCCGCCGCCCGCCTGTCCCGACGGGCCGCAGACTCCCACACGCACCTTCGGCCACGGCGCCCGGCTGGGCTTCACTCCGGGTTGCCCCGGAGAGGCGGCGGCCGCGTTGCTTTACTGGGAGTCGCCGCCAGCCGTGGGGAGCGACCCCAGCAACAGAGGCTGCCCTGGGGCCGCCGCGTCGGCTGTGTGGGGAATGGGGTGTCGGCGGGGAAGGGGTCTCGGCTGCCTCTCCCGAGGCTGCTTTCGGCGGACAGAAGCCCTCGCCGAGAGCCCAGCTCGTTCGCCGCTGGCTCTTTGGGCGCCCCCGCGGTGGACAGCCCATCCCCTCCCGGCGGGCCTCCCGCAGCCGGGGCCGGGGCAGAGCGGGAGGCGCGGGGCGAGCGGCGGGGTCGGGCAGCCGCGAGAGCAGGGGAAGCCGTGGGGAGCCGTACCTTTCCTTGGCCTCGGCGGCGCGGTCCCGCTGCCGGCGGTTCTTGAACCAGTTGCTGACCTGGGTGGTGGTGAGGCCGGTGGCCTCGGCCAGCTCCCGCTTCTCGCGGGGGGACGGGTAGGGGTTGTGGGCGTACCACTCGCGGAGGACGCTGCGGCTCTTCTCCTTGAAGCAGTAGCTTGTCTCCTCGCCGTCCCAGATGGAGCGGGGCAGCGGGAACTTGCGGCGCACCCGGTACTTGCCCACCGCCCCTAGGGGTCGCCCCCGGAGCTTCTCCGCCTCGATGTAGTGCGCCTTCAGCCAGAGCTGCTGCAGCTTGGGGTGGTTGTGCGCCGAGAACTGGTGGCTCTCCAGGATCTTGTAGAGCTCGCGGAAGTTGCCCCGGTGGAAAGCCACCACCGCCTTGGCCTTCAGGACGCTCTCGTTCTTGTGGAGGTGCTCGCAGGCAGGGAGGGACCAGAGGAACCGCCCCAGCCGCTCGATGTTGCCGCCTTGCTGGAGCACCTCGCAGACGCAGGCCACTTGCTCTTGGGTGAAGCCAAAAGTCGGGAGCATCGACATGGTGAGCCCTGCCCCGCCGCGCGCCCTATGGCCTCATAGAGGGAGCGGCGCGGGGCAGCGGGCAGCGCCCGGCATGCGGGGCCGGCCCCGGGGCGGCGGCGCCCGGCGGGGCCCGCTCGGGCGTCACGGCCGGGCACGGGGGGCCGCGGCCATCGGCGGCGCCCGACCCCGGGGCGGTCGCGAGAGCCGGGGAAAAAAGGCGAAGAGCGACGAAAAAAAGTCTCGAGAGCCCGAGCGCGGGCGGCTTTTCCCCCGGCCGCCGCCTCCTTTTTGTAAGTCCAAGTTGCGAGAGTAACTTCGTGCCTCTTTTGTCTCCTATCTGCAGCGCTCGCAGCGGCCGCGGCTCTCACACCCCCACCCCCCTCGGCCGACGGTTTGGGATCTCCCTCTTTCCCCCCCAACCCCCACCGCCAGATCCCACATAATATAGTGGTAAAGCCCTGCTCCCTCGCTCTTCTCCCTCTCGGAGTTTTCCCCCCTTTCTTTCTCTCTCTCTCTCTCTCTCTCTCTCTCTCTTTTTTTTTAATAATATTATTCTAAGCTGGCATGAAAAGTGATTATCCGCGCTGTGATTGGTCCGGTTATCTGACCCGGGGACTGCCAGCAGAAGACAATAGTTTTAGTCAAATTATTTGCCATGGTGACGCTGTCAATCAGGGGTAACCCGATCTGTTTTGAGGTGGCTCCCCGGCTGGGTTGACAGATTGCTCAGATCCACTCAGAGGCGGCCCTGCGAGCTGAGATATTAGCTAGCGAGAGAGAAATTTCCGCCGTGATTGACGCTGCAGGCGCCCGTCGGGGGAGAGGGGGAGCGCCGGAGAGCGGAGCCCGAGCCCCTGCTTCTCGCCGCAGGGCGCTGCGGCGCGGCGGGACGGAGCCGCCTCCCCGGCCGGGCCCCGCAGCCCCGTCTGGATCCCGCAGTCCCGTCCCGACCCTGCCGCTCAGGACCTCGGGCTCTGCCGTCCTCGGCACCCGCGGCTGCGGTGGGGAGAAAAGCCCGTCTCAAGCCCTTGCAGAAAAATTTCTTCCTAAATGCTTTCGCTTAGCCCCCCTCCCCCGAGCCCAGTAACCGCCGTCGGAGAGTTTTATATGGAAGGGGCCTCTCATGTACAATGGAGACCCTGTTCGTGACCTGGGATCCCATTACACGCTGGTCGTACCTGCCCGGGAGCGAGGAGAAGGCACGATGATATGGGATTGCCTCTCCATGAATCGCCGACCGTGCCCCACCACGCTCTGGCGTGCAGGGCGCTGGCATTTGTGATCACTGGACGCCGGACATTTATTTATACTCGATTTCCAGGAGCGTGTCGGGATGTTTCATCCAGGAGAGGAACACGTGTAAAAGTGTAAAAGTCAGAGGCACTTCGCTTGATTAGACGGACACTTTATCACCCACGCGTGCCCATTACACACCGAGTTTTAAGTTTACTGACTCTGCGGGGTAGGGATCCTTATCCTTTCACATCCCTTTCGGTCTACACAAAGTGAAAGGCGAGGGAGAAAGTTGTGCAAGCTGGAAGGTCGAGGGAGCGGGTGCGATGAGCGGGTGAAGGGAGCCGCGGTGCTTCCTCGGGAGCGGCGCTCGAGCTGCGCGGCCGGACGGGGCCGCCGGGGCAGAGGCTGGCGTCGGGGCTCACCCAGGTGAGGGCACTCGGGAGGAGCCTCCCGACCACAAATTCAGGGCAGTTTCCACGGCCTGTAATATACCCCTTTTGTGGAGAAATAATAATTAATCCCACAAGCTCTTTCTACGCTATTTGCAGCCCTGACGGGAGAGGTCTCTGCAATTGTGGGTTCCTGCCACGGTACCTTTTTAGCCGCCCCGGCGCGTCAGGGATTTAGCGAAGTCACAAGAGACCGGGCTGCGGCTTCCCACCTCGCAGCCTGAGCCTCCGCGGCTGATGGACGGAGCCTCCGTGCCGGCCCGGGCGGGCGCAGCGGCCGTCCCGTGGGAAGGCGAGGCTGGGGTGGCCGGCGCGCAGCCCAGCGGCTCCCGGTGGCGGCGACTCCCGGCGAGAAGCCACGCCAGGGCTGCGGCCAGGGGAAATGCGGCGGGGGAGGGAGGCAGGAGGAGGAGGAGGAAGAGGGCGGGGTAGGGGGGCAACGGATCAGCCCGCGTCCAGCTCTCACCATGTCCGGACGCCTGTGCGTATCAGCGGCGTACGTCTGTACTTTCTGGAGTGCATTCCACTGTGGAAGCTACGTGTCCTCCTACCTGTCCGTCCGGGCTTTTCCCGAGTGCTGCCATAACGAAACAGTGTCAAGCGGGCGGTTCCCGCCCTGGATCTCCCAGGGGCGCAAAATAGAGGCTTCTTTTTCAGGGCGAGAAAGAAACAAGCCAAATTCGTTTCAAACAAAATCGGGGATGTTGGTGATGGCCCGGTAAAGCCCCCTTGCATGATTTTCCCTTCGTCCCTTTATAAAATGAGCTCTCGACTGCTTAGTGCCTCTATTCCGGCCGATCTCTGCAGGATTCAAGCTGTGCTTGTTTGTAAACGAAAGCATCCCGATCTCAGTGCTTCCTAGACAACCTAAGCAGCTGGATAGTTCGCAGCCGTAACGCACAGTGACGGGACGGGCAACCGGTCCTCTTCAAATGTTATTCTGAGCAGAAACGGGAGAGAAACACAAATCCCTTCTCCCATCCCCGACCTCTGCGCACACACACCGTGTGCCTTCTGCTCCCTCCCGTAATGGGGACCGCGGAAATACGAAAAAGTGCTAGAGAGGTCTGATTTGCGTCTCCCGCCTCCCCGCTACCATGCTCGGTCACCCCACGCTTATTAGGGATATACCTGCCTGCTCTTCCTCTCCTTCCATCTCACAACCACAGTGGTTGAATCTGAACGGGAGCAGCTGTTCGCCCTAGCCGGAAAGGAGATGTCAAAACCTGTTGCGTGGATTTAGATCTGAGAGTCTTCTTAGCACCCTAAAATGTGAGTACAGAATCTACATGCCAGCTTCTCCGTAGGCGCTTTCACTTTACGCTGCAGTTTGCTTGTAGCGTAAGTTCACTTCCCAGAGAGCTGCGCAGAGGCAGGGCTACCCCCTTCCCGGGCACCCTGTATCGGTTTGCGTCCTAGAGCAATTGCAAATTAGTGACATCTGGATCCAAATTCTGTATAACTGCTTTTAACCTTCTGAAACAAAAAAAAAATTCCCGTACATGCAAGTAGACAGAGCAGATACTGGCAGCAAAGCCGCGGCACGGGGCGAATAACATTGTAGTGCCTGGCGAGGGAAACAGGCGATCGGGCGAGGAGCTTTTTTTGGTTTTTGCTAAGAAGCTCGTTCGCTGCCATTATATTTCAGAGCAGGAGGCGCGACTCGCCTGTTCACGTTTGCTCCCGGTCCGACGGGATCTTTTCACTTGGCTGCTGCCGGCTGTCTCCAGTTTAGCTGCTGCGGAAGGTTTTATTTGAGGCTACCCAAAAGGCGAGTTTCATCCCGGCCCCGGCCCCGACTGCCACTTTGCCCAGGGCCCACTGGGCAAGCGCCTCACCCCTCCTAGCAGTCATTGCCGCACACGCAGCAGCGTGTGAAACATCATTGTGAAATATGAGTGAAATAAAAAGGCCGTTTTTATCTCAATGCTCCTTTCATTAACTGGGATAGACTGTCTGAGGAACAGAGTGAAGGCGGCCGTGTCTCTTCAGAGGAGCCTTTCCTGGCACTGCTTAGTGCCCACGACTGAGTGCAAAGGTAGCGCTGCAGTTATCTGAAAATCGCCTTCTTGGCTATGCCTTCACCGTTTCCTCGTAGACAGCAACCTGTGCGGAAGGCTGCAGGCCCGCATGGTTCCCGTTAAAGACACCACTAAAGACAGGAGCTGATTCACCCCAAACTCCTGCCTTGCACCTTTCCGCCAGCCCCCATGACCACTACCTTTGAGGAGCCCCTTACCCTTTTTACCGAGCCGCTCAGCCCCTCGCGGGGCTCGGGACAAGCCTGTCACCCACTCTCCCAGGGCTGTGGACACGCGCGCTCCTGCCGGCCGGCCTCGGCTCCCGGCGTGGGGCAGGGCAGGGACACGGGGCCCCTCCGAGGGCGCTTGTATCGGCAGGGGTAGGTAACAAATGATAAACCCCGCAACCTTCACATGCCAGAAAGAATCACATCTTCCTCGCAGATGGCGAGGACTGTAGCGAGAGCTACAAAATGACAGACAACAACTCCAAGTTTTCGTTTCTTTCTTTCTTTCTTTCTTCTTCTTCTTCTTTTTTTTTTTTTTTTAATGTTTTTCTTTCCTTTTGGCGGGGCTGCAATATGCTTTCCCCTTAAAACCGGTGGGGTTTACCGAAACCGAAGGCCTGCCGCAATTAAATTGCTACTCCAGCTAGGTTGCTTTTTTTTTTTTTTTTTTTTTTTTTTTTTTTTTTTTTTTTTTTTTTTTTTTTTTCATGAATCACAGCGACCTTTGCCAGGATATCAGGCCTACCTGCCCCACACCCCCCAACCCAGGGGCTCAGCGAGTTTCACCGGGACCACACATTTCTCCGTGGTGAGACTCTTCAGGCAGCCAAAGCTCACCCAGGATTCTCGGAGGCAGTTTTGCAACCCGGATCCGAGGGCTGTTCCCCCCGCCCTCCCGTTATTTATTCACACTTTTATTTATTTTTCTTTTTGTTTAAAACCCGAGTCTATCCCATCAGAGATGGCACTAAGATCCTGTCCCGAATAAAAAAAAGAAAGCACGGCGGAAGATCACTGCACATAACTAAATTAAGACAAACAACAATTGCTTGTTGTTCCTTGATTTAGGGTGAAAGGAATAATTCAAAGCTTTTGCTGCGCGCAATGCTCCGTTCCTCAAGGGGACCAGTCAAGGATTTCAGATATGTAGCGGGTAACTCGATTATACTAACAAAATCCGCTTGAAAGAGAACGCTGTTGGGCTGCTGGGCGGGGAGCGGGGTGCTGTGGACAGGGGAGACCCGGCTGGGCGCCGGCGGGAGCGGAGCCTCTGCCCCAGAGAGCGTCCCCGCTTCCCGAGCCCTCAGGTCTGCCGCTCCTCTATATCGCGAAGAGGTTTCCCCGCCGGCTGGACCTGAGATGCTCGAATAACAT